TTTCCCTTGTTCAGGAAATAAATAATTAGAAAACAAAAATTATATCATTACGATGAAGCACCTTAGTTCAAAGTAACAAAGTAGAATTTATTACTACAGAAACAGTCTCCATATTACATCACTTTTATTATAAATAGTATCTTGACATTATCATAAGATTTAGGAGAGTAAGATTCTCAACTGATTATATACAAAGATTCCAGTTATTGATAAAATACGCTGATATAAAATTTTGCACAAAGTCTCAAAGAAATCAGGTACTCAAGAAAAAGTAGAAACAGTAAGGTTTGACAGTGCTGGGACAGTACTGCAGCGCAGTGGTCAAGCACAGGACAGCAGGAGCTGGGTCCCACATCGCCAAATGCAGCTCCAATTCTGGCTCTAGCAGTTGGAAAAACATGGCAGGTGTCTATGTGCTGAAAATCATGAAGGGGGCCAGTTGGTGGTGTGGTAGTTAAGGCAGCAAGATCTCACAAGGTTGAGTGCATGGTTCAAATCTGGACCCAGTGGCTTTAAAAATATTCTGGGTGCACGCCCAAACATCCCCAAAATCCAGAGAGGAGAATGGACGGAATGCAGTGTGACCATCCCCCTAGGAGGTGATTTCTCACTTTTCTCTCTCTCCACCCTTCTCTGGTAAGCACATGTACCTTATAGTAAACAAAAAAAACTTAAAAATCCTGATGAGATGGAGACATGGAAGAAAATGGATGGTGGCATGACCACACTCCCTTAAGGTTATGGGTTCTTTCTCTCTCCCTCTCTCTAAATAGACATACCCTCTAGCAATTAGAAATATTTTAATTAGGGTCAGAAGGTGGCTTTGTGACTAAGGCACTGGACCCCATATAGCTGAGCACAGTTCAAGTCCTGGACCCAGCAGCCTGAAAATCACAATGAGCACATATGCATGCATGCACAAGATCACAAGAGGAGAATGGAGGAAAACAAACTGCAGTGGGGCCATCCCCAGGGAGTGATTTCTCATCTTCCTTTTCTATCTCTCTCCAGCAAGCACATGTACCCTACAGCAAACTAAAATTAAATAAATAAATAAAACGAGATTCCACATGGTTCAAGTCCCAGACCAAGCAGCTTGAGAAACAAACCAAGCACATACATGTGCATATACAAAATCCAAGAGGAAAATGGAGAAGAGATTGTACATGACCATTACTCAGGAAGATGCTTTTTCACTCTGTCTCTCCTTCTCTATCTCTATCTCTCTCCAGCAAGTGCATGCATCCTATTACAAATTTAAAAAATGAAAAAGATTCTATAATGATGTATTTTCAGGAAAAAGAAAAAAAAAAAGCAAAATACTTTCTAAAGGAATACACTCTAAAAACTTCCTTTTTTAAAAGAATTATTAAATTTATTCTTTTTAATTGGACCAGAGACAGACAGAGAGAAGGGGAAAGTGAGGGGACCAGCAGTTGGTGTAATGGCTATGTTGCTGGATTCCCACGTAGTCAACCGCGGTTCGAGTCCTGGACCTGGTGGCTTAAACTCACACCAGGCACGCGTGTATGTGTACCCAAGATCCCGAGAGGAGAATGGAGGCGAAGGGACTGCAGCACGGTCATCCCCCGGGGAGGGATTTCTCGCTTTCTATCTGTCTCTTGTCTGTCTTTCTGGAGCACATGAGCGGCCTATAGCAAAAACCTCTCCCAAAAGAAAAAAGAAAGGGAAAGTGAGAAAGCAAGCCACAAACCAGGTCTGGGTCTGAAACCGTATTCAGCAATGTGGGAGTCCAGCGCCCTAACTACCATGCCACTTGCTGGCCTCCTTTTTTAAAGGCCTTGCTATTAGGAGATTATATGATAATGAATGCTCAACTCACCAGGGAGCAGATATCCAGCCACCAGCCACAAATGAGAGGAAACACTCCAATTTCTACAACCACGAGCAAAGAGACCTGAAGTGAAAATAAAGGTCATCAGTATCAAATGCAAGAGAATTCAGTTCTAGTTTTAATTCACAACCGAAATTACCTTAACAACAATATAGCAGACTCCCAGTAAGCGACGAGATCTATGAAATTTAACAAGCGTTGCCAAGCCCTACAGCCTCTAGTCAAGGAAAAACTGAACATCTAAAGGCACGATGAAGCTTTTTAGACAACACTTGATATTTTTTGACAGAATTAATTTCACATTTTGTCCACATTCACATTTGCTCCAAATACCTACAACTTTACTAAGAGAATGGGGTAGAGAAAACAGTTTTGTCATTTATGAGAATGACTCTTTAGTATGAATAATTTTCTTTTTTTTTTTAAGCGAGATTTCTGCTATAAGACACATGTGCTCGCTAGAGAGACAAGAGACAGAAAGTGAGAAATCACCTCCCGGTGGGGGGGGGGAAGAAATGGCCATGCCACTATCCCCTCTCCTCCACTCTCTTCCCAGGATTTTGGGCATGCTTGCACTCACACACGTACAGTGTGAGTTTTAAGCTGCCACGTCCAGGACTCAAACCAGAGTTGACTATGTATCCTACACAGTCACTCAAACAGTGGTATAACTATTACACCATCTGCTGGTCCCTTAGTATGAGTAATATTACTGAACACCCAAGTTAGTTCACTAAAGGATACATGACAAATTATGAGTGTTATTGCTAAAAGTATATATCCAACTATAGTTGTGATTAGGCCTTCAAAATGAGATGCTTGGACCTGGAAATAAGAAAAAAATAAATTTTTATTTTGCCACATGGTCTATACCCCAGTTTTACTAATGTATTAAATAGTCCAAATGACTAAAAATCAATCACCTAGGCACTTTGTTACTCAAAAACAACTATAAACTGCCCCTTGAATGACATCTCTGTAACAGCCAGGCTGTCCCACTGACTGCTATGTATTTCGAAAGGATGAAGAAATACGGAATAACACTTTATCCAAGGAGACAAAACAACAATAGAGTGAATTAAATTTTACGAAAATAACACTGTAACCCAATAGTCTGCCCTCTATTGTCACTCTAAAGTGGATTTGCTGTAGTCAGCAGCAGTACTCTGCCCAAGCCATCCACCCGCCAATTAACATCCTACCACTAGGAGTCACTGTTTAAACCGCTACTGAGCTCCAAATCTGTTCCACTGTCAAGTTACAAAAATGTAAGAGGATAGTGAAAAACACTACACATCTCCATCTTTTTGGTTCTTGAGTTTCAAATAGCAAATGGCAACAGTTTAGAAAGTCATATTTAGCACAGTATATATGTAAGCCTTTCAAGTTCTTTGATCTGCCGAGGGAGAGAGCTGAACATGCTTCAAACTGATCTCTCCAGACTCAAACACTGAATGAATATATGATTCCAGACAGCTCTTCCTTAAAAAACTAAACTGAGGCCAGACAGTGATTTTACAGGAAAACGCAAAGCTCTGTGAGGCGGTCCCACATAGGGAAGTTCTTGGTTCAAGTCTGAAGACACCCCAAGTATGCTGAGCATATACTTGTCCATGATCCAGGGCTGGCTAATGAGCAGAGGATGGATCATGGCATCAAGACTTCACTGGGGATGTTGTTTCTCTCTCATGGAAAAAATAAACTTTAAAAAGACTAGACCTTTCTAAGCTCCCCAGTAAGATGAAATAGTCCATGCAAATAGTTACCTCTGGAAAATAACGATAACATCTCAAAATAGAGGCATATTCTTTAGAAAATATTATAGCCTACCACTGCAAGATAATCTATTTCTTTACCTTTTTTAAAAAAAATCTATTTCTTTTTCTTAATTGATTGATATATTGTTACTTTTCTAAATTCATATGGGGCACCTGGGAAAAGGAGGAGAAGGGAACACACTAGTTCATGGAACAAGTGGAAAATTAGCTTGTGGAAATTTCCTCACAGCATGCCTCAGGCCTGCCCAGCAGGAAGACAGACATGCACCAAGGGATTTCAGAGCACATTCTCCTTAGTAGGCAACATGGCCTGTCTTTTCAGCTGTTAGTTTTTAAATATAAGAATGAGACCATGTTGGCTAACCTATTCCTTTGCATAAGGTAGATTTAGAAATGAAATAATTATTTAGGATATTATTACTTACTCAGCAAATATCAAATTTGGGGATAATTAATGAAAGTTTGTGGAAGTATTATACTCACGTGTTCTTCAAATCCCAAACCAACAAGGGAGAAATGACCAATGTGGTAAGGGCAAAATGCTAAAAGGGGAAGAAAAACTAAATGAAAACTTCAGCCTCAAACAGTGAGCACTCCTAGTATAATCCTCCACTAAAAGGAACCAGGACTCTTTTGGAGAAATAAAAGATTCCAGAAATCTTCAAACTGGGCCAAAAATATCACCTGGGACATTCTCTACAACCAGAAATCAAGGAAGTTATCAAGGTTTAAAAGGACCATGTGAAAAGGACACAGAACCCATTATGAAGAGAGTGTGATAGGCCAAAGAGAGAGGCTACGAGCACCAAAAATAACAATGACTGGTGCAGCCCATGGCCTGGTGTTGAAGGCAGCAGGATTCCACAAGGCCTACGACGTGGCTCGAGTCTCAGACCTGGTGGTTTGAGAAACATGCCACACGCGTGTTTACAGGTCCATAATCCGGAAAGGAGAGACGTGAAAGGGGATTGTGGAAAGTACCAGCAGGTGCTTGGATCTGGTTCTAAGCAAAGCTCACACTTGAAGGTTTACTATCTTTCCATAAGTCCACATCTCTTTCTAGTGACAGCTCCCAAGCCAGTGTCTCTGAAAGGCCTTAGTCAGGATTTTGATTTACAAAAATAAAAAGTCAAGGGGGGGGGTGTCAAATAGATATTCAGCATAAAATTAATTTCAGAGGTGGGATATATATATACATATACATATTCTCGAATCAGATATATATATTCGAGAATCAGTCCAAAATCAGCTTCTACAAAGACATGGGAATGCCCAACAGAAGCAGAGACAGGTAAGTAACTATAGTCACTATTGCTTAAGAGAATATTCGTATGACTGGGGCCTTACTATATGGATTCTTGACTAAAATGATTTTCATATACTCTTTAATAATCCTACGTTAAACAAAATCTGTAAGACCTCCAGAAAACTAAACTGTCATAATGCCATAAAAAAATAATACAACTTACCAAAAACAAGAATGAACAATGTGTTTAAAGACACCACCCAGAAGACATGCTCCTAAAGAAAAACAAGAGTATTAATAAACATCTTCAATTCATATTTGATATATGTTTAACTGGGCTACAGGAAAAATTCTAAAACTGGCTAGATTAAAATTTTTCTTTTTATTAAAGAATTATTTATTTAATTTTATTTATTCAGTCAGTCATTTTTACTTGACCAGAGAAAGACAAACAGAGAGAAGGAAAGTGAGAAAGCAAGCCACCAGGTCTGAGACTCGACCCATGGTCAGCCATGTGGGAGTGTCCAGCACCTTAACCACCGTGCCACCTGCTGCCCCCACCACCCAGTTAAAATTTTTCTCTATGGGACCAGCAGATGGCATAATGGGTTACATCACTGAACTCCCACGGATTCGACTGCAGTTTGAGTCCTAGGCCTGGTGGCTTAAAACTCATGCCAGGCACATGCACATGTGTGCCCAGAATCCCAAGAGGAGAATGGAGAAGGCACTGTAGCGTGGCCACCTCCCCGAGATGATAAGTTCTCATTTTCTGTCTCTTTCTGCCTCTCCAGGAAGCTCACATGCCCTATAGCAAAATTCTCTTTAAAGAAAAAAAAAAAAAAAAACTCTCAAAAAGAAAAAAATTTTCTTCTATAAGTTTGAGATCTCAATCCAGAAATTAACATCGATTTATCAGTTTTTATTAGATGGTTCACAAAACTAAGCCTAATAAAACTAGTTCATAATGTTACGTGTAGAACTGATTACATAAATCAATTTATAAACATTTCCTCTTATAAATTAATCATCTATTATTGTGGTGGCGCAATGGCCGAGGAGGCCTGCCTGGGTTTGGTCCAAATAGGCCAGGCACTTGCGGTCCTAGCTAACTGGAAGAGTGGAGAAGAGGACAAGTGTCTAGTTCCTGTCAAAGGTTCCACCCTCCACCCACTCCTTTCTATCACTCCCTTATCTTCTGCTCTTTTAACGTACACTGCACACTGCTTCTTTCACGTCTATTCTGTTTTCCTGACTTCTGCTTGGCCACCTCGTTTCTAACTAAACTATGATGAATCTGTGGTAACAAGGACCCTGTTTCACTCATCTCTGAATCCCCCAGTGACTATTACCATAACTGGCACATGGTACATACTAAGTTTTTTACCAAACAAATGAAGTCATTCCTGTAAATGGTTTTTCCAACAGTTCAAGTGGGTGTGAGTCAATCCCGCAGCCTCAATGGTTTTTGTCATTTATTTATGAGGAACTGACAAGGTAAGAGACCTAAATGGAGGCTGGCCACCAGGTAGCATGGAGGTTAAGATGCTAGATCACACATAGCCAGCTTTGCAGTTCAAGTTCTGGACCCAGTGGCGTGAGAATCCCACCAGGCACATGTGCATTATACATGCCCAAAATCTCAAGATTGCAGTATAGCCATCCCCCATGGGGGGCGGTGGTTTCTCACTTCCCTTCTCTCCCTGCTGTCTCTCTCTGGCAAGCCCAAGTACTCTATAGCAAAAACTGAAAAAAAAAAAAAAAAAGGGTGGGGAGGAAGATAAGGAACATAAATGAGTATGTGGCCAATGCCCTCTGTGTTGACCATGATCAAATCTTCACCAGTAATGTCACGTTCCCTCTAAACTGTGAGTTATACTAGGTATGTTCATTCAAAACCCTGCCACTGCTAATTTCAAAGTTATCTGGTTTCAAATGAAAATCAGGCCAACACTACAGACAACAAAGGAGAAGTACAGAAATTATCTGGGTCTTTGATGACACTTCTGGGCTTCTGGACCAACCAACAACCCTGAAACTCATCCTTCCGGTTGAATGTCCTTGTTACACTGTTTCAGTCAGTAAGGATTCTGTTAACTGCAAGCCTAGTCATCTTGATACCCTATTCAAAAATTCTAAATAGGGCTGGTCCTGTGGCCTGGTGGTTAAGGGAGTCAAATCCCAAACTGCCTACCAGACAGTTCAAATCCTGGCCCTAGTGGCTTGAAAACACCCGCTGGGCACATGTGCATGTATGCCCAAAATCCTGACAGGATGGAGAAATGGAGTAGGATTTTGATATGACCATAACCAGGAAGGGGGGGGGTGTGCTATCTCTCTCTTTCTCGCTCGCTCGCTCGCTATCTGGTGGCACATGCACCCTCTAGCTTACTTAAATCAAACAAATGAACAGAATACAAACCAAAAAATTCCAAATGGCAAGTGACTGTATATTATAGAGCCAGACAATAGTAACGTGCTCATCTGTAAGATACAAGTTCTTTAAAGACTTGCTCCTCACCTTAAAGGTGTAGTCTTTAATAATAAGGCAGGTTTCTAGGTAAAGATGGGCAGTGCTCAGCAATCAGCAGAAACCTAAGTTTAGCCTGGGGGGGTCTCTGCTGTGGAAATACACAAAGCTGCTTTGCTTTTACTGGTAAAGGCATTAAACGCTGCCATGGCAGCACTTTGGAAGACTAACTTCTTTTTTTAAGTATTAATTTTGTACATTACTTTCTTTTCTAAAAATCAAATATTAAATAATAATTTCCTTTTTAAAAAATATTACCCTTATGCTTTTTCAATATTTTCAATGTACAAAATATATTTTAAAATATGAAGTAGTCAAATGCCGATTGGTATTTTGACCTTTAGTATAAAGTTAGCACTATAGATATGAAATTACTAAATCACTCAGACAAATAATCAACTTACAATTCTGTTACTAAAAAGAATTAGTTTTACATACCAGAAAAACTAGTGATCCATCAAGTCCTAGCATCTAAAATAAATAAATAATAAATAATAATAGCATTAATTCAAAATGCAAAATGATTTTTCCATCCTAATTTATAAAAAAGGTTCAATTTCACATCAGCCAGTAGCATGGTGGTGAAGGCAGCTGGATTCCACATGGCTGGCTGCATGGTTCAAGTCTCAGACACGGCAGCTTGGGAAGCACTAAGCATGTGTGTCTGTGCCCAAAATTCCAAAAGGAGTGAGAAACATAGGGAAAAGGAATCATGGTGTGACCATTCCCCATGCGGTGCTTCCTTACTCGATCTGTCTGTCACTCACTCTCTCCAACAGGCACATGTGCCCTCTAGTAAGAATTTGCAAGGGACGGGGGTGGGGGGGTTAATTTCCTTTCAACAGTTTTAAGCATAGTCCTCACCCCCTACTTCTTAAGACTGTCCATCATTTTCAGAACATGGACAAAAAACACTTTTGTTGATGGGAATTTTGTATTTTGGGTCTCCTTTTATTCTAAATCAAATGATTATGAAAACCAAAAAGATTCTCAGGCTTAATTCTTACATACCTACAATGTCAAGACTTTATAACAGAACTGTATTATCTTCTCAAGTGAAGCATTAAAATAGTATTTCAATATAAAATCTGGCTGTTTTTTTAAAATCTATAATTTCAGGTAAAATAGTCCCTAATGGAGCAAGGTTTATATTAAAGACCAAAAATGGAGCAAGGTATTGTATTAAAGGCTGTTTAAAAAACAAGCTGTTGGTGTCACATGATTTTTACCACAAACAGTAAATCAATTTTCTATAGAAATTAAAATTCTGATAACGTTTTATCAAATATAAGTACAAAATTAGTATATACAAATATTATGTCCAGTTTTAAAACATGCTTTCCGATGAAAACAGCAGGATACTTAACGCAAAGAGCTCT